CTTTGTTTGCAGTTTCGCTGCTTGTTCACTGATGGCGAAATGCGCTGTCCTTTCCAATTGGATGTATATTGTAGTCGTGGCAGGACTCCTCTTATGGTCGCTGCCTACAACCAATCCCTTCCTGTACTTACGTGAGTCATTTAGAATTTTCTGCTCATTCGTGATGCTCTATCCCATTGGTTTCGGCTTCGTAAGTGTTTTGAACTAGGCAGGAAATTCTCAACGATTTGAGAAAAGATCGAATGGAATTATGGCCTGCCTTTGGAGAGACGAGAAATGTTTATCAGATTAATGCAGAATTGTATGGGGCAAACGGTATGCGGCTATGAAAATCTATCTTTGCTCCACTTTCAGCTGAAGATGAATAATAATAGCAGGCCTACTGGGGGAGCATCTCGGAAATGCTTTTCACATCCTTTACTTTTTGCTTTGTGTATGAAGAAAGTATGAGTATTAATTAAGTACGAATGTGAGCATTTCAGCTTGCTGTTGGACGCTGGTGCGGATGTCAATTTGCCGTTGGCGATCCTGGATTCAGAAACTTGCGAAGAAGCTCGATGTATTGGTAAGACTCATTATTCGTTGCGTTTCTTCACCTTCCTATAATTTTCACGTCCACTAAGCGAAACTAGTTTATGGTCTTTTTCTGTTCCGGGACCTGGGGAGTTCGTTCTGAGGCATAGTCGCGGTGCCGGTCATACCAAACTTGGAAAGCGATGGGGACAAAGATGTTACAATGCAAGAGCTTTTGCCAAACTCAAAAAGGGAACAGCGTAATTGATCGGGAGTATTTGGCACACTAGGGGAATGTTCCGTGCGGGCTTTTCCGGCACCTGAAAGATTTGGTTTAGAGAAACTGGCCCTATTTTTCCTTCAACTCTAAAAGTTTGCTTTAGTGAACGATTTTTGTTGTTTGAGTCACCATCATTGGTGACGTCAGAGTTGGAAGCACAGTTTGTGATGAAAATGATCTCAGAGATGTTCAACCCAAGATGAAGACCTAAGTGACCTGCAAAAATAACACATTGACGCTGCCGGATTGAAAAACAGTCTAGAAAGGACCTAATGAAAAGCTCCAGAACCAGCTTAACCGACAGACACACCCATAAGCGGACGAATTCTCACTCTGCTGTAGAGGCCGCAGGGGTTACACCATTTGCACACTAGGATGCGCACATCGTACGCAGGCAGCTTACTGTAGCCAGGTGTAAGCAGTGGCGCATTGGAACAGCTCTTTCAAATGGGAACGGAACATTGGTGCGTCTGGAATCACACGGAAAATCCGCTCATCCGCTGTGGGTGGATCGTTCTCACAGTGGGCGATTTTTTCCACGTGATACATAACCTATCACTGCCTACAACCAGATACTTGAGAACTCGCTCTTAGATTGGAAACTCATAACTCTATGAGACGCATCCTTTATTGTGAAGAACACATTAATGTGCGCAGTCGAATTGGTAAGGTATCCCGTCATCGTACAAGACGATTCCACATGTAGAAATAATGAACGGAGAATACAAGATTTTACGGCGTTTTTGAATCACTTGAATCACTTCATGTTTAGGTTCTGGTGCTTTGGTAGAGGCAACTCGGTCCGACGCAGTTCATATCGTGCATTTTCTTCACGATCGAGGAGCACTCGACACCGATAATCGAGCATTACGTCTTGCTGCTAAGGTTTGAACAACAGTGAATAAAATTAATAAATGCTAAGAACAGGGTAGGGTGGACCAAATCCACTGAAATAGGAAAATGAGAGAATGAATACTCGGGCTTTGTATGATGCAATTACGACGGCGACGTTCGATATTCTAGCGCTTAATAGGGAATGAACGTTCGCCTCACTTTCGATATTGAAGCAACAGAAAAATTCGGCTACTGTTTTTTGAGATATATTATGGCTGATGCTAAGAATTCAAGTTGGGCCGTGGACATTGACCATTATATCATTAATGACATGATTAGTAATCGTTAGCACTATTAGAAAAAATC